TCCAGGTGGGATCCCACGACACCCGAGATGAGAATCCTCCCTCACTCCTTTGGATTCAGCCCAGGGCAAGGTCCAAGATCCCTCTGGACCCTCCCTCTCTCCCCTCAAGTGACCTTGGGTCACAAATTCAAGGAGGAAGGAGTGATTTTCATCATTTTAGTAACTTCCAATTTTGAAAAAAGAACAAAAACCCCACCCTGGTTTTGGTACGAGTTTGTTCCGTGTCTATACTGGATACAGAGTTTTCCTTCCCAGTTTTCTGAACAGGGAACTGATCCTGGCTCAGCCAACGCAGACAACAGAATTTCTCTGAATTCAAACAGGATTTCTTTCACAAGAAAGGAAAAATGGCTCGCTGAAGATAAACTTGCAGGATATTCTCTGGTTAACAAAGCCACAAGGACGGTTTGTGTGCGATAAGACCTCTGGGAGAGGCTGCACGGGAGAGCTGCACCAGACCTTGCTCAATTTCCCTCCTTTCTGCTCAAAAAACACCTCAAGACATCCAAAAATTGGGAGGCGCCGTGGAGAGGAGCAGGAGCGGAGCGGGATGTGTGGGCAACATCTGGCCCAGATGTGGGACCTGAGATGGGGCTGATCCCTCCCTTGCGAAGATTCCCAAACCAGGGGAGGGGTCGGGGCATCTTTATCCCCCCCCCCTTGGTTGCCCCATCCCTGGGAGGTTGCCCAATCCTCGCCCCCTGGGGGGGGGGTGTGTCCCTAAAACCACCCCAGACCCCCCCTGGGCTCCTTGCCAAGGGACAAGGAGCACCTGGGGTGTGCAGAGGGGAGCAAGGACAGAGCCTGGGATTAAATGGGGGGGGGGGAAAAACTGGAGATGGTTTGGAAAGGTTGGAAAAGTTCCCAAATCCGAGCTCGGCCACCTGAGCGGGACAGGGAGCTCCTGGCCAGGTGGTGCAGCTGCTCCTTGCGGGAGAATCCTGGAATTCTGGGAAGGTTTGGGTCGGGAGGGAGCTCGAAACGATCCCGTTCCACCCCCTGGAAACATTCCCGTGTCCCAGGCTGCTCCATCGTGGCCTTGGACACCTCCAGGGATGGCGAATCCATGGATTAACCCCTGCTGGACCAGAGGAGGACACCAGCCCCTCCATCACCACGTTTCCATGGCAGCATCTTCCACCCCGGGCCGCCAAACATTTGGCACAAATCCACCCTAAAACCACCCCAAAAATTCCCCAAAATTCCCCCCCTCCCACCAAGGCACAAGGAGCACCCGGCACTTACTGGTTCGGGGGAGGAGCACGAGCGTGGCGAGGAGAGGGATCCAAAATTTGTCCATGGGCATTTGGAGGATCCGAGGCGCCGGGGAGGGACAGAAATATCATCACAAATAAAAGAGGAGGAAGAAAAAGCTCGCGCTTATCATCCTGTCATGGGCGGAGGGAAGAACCTGTGATCTCTGATAAACCAAACCCACTGGAACTCGTGATGAATTTGCATTGCAGAAACCGAAGGCGTTTATTTAAAAAGAAACCTCGTAATTACTGTTTTAAGAAAGGGGAGAAGAGCTGACGGGCTTAAGGACAAAATGACTCAGTTTTCTGAGCAAAGGTGAGAAAACCTGAGGTGTTCCAAAAATAAACCCAGCTCTGGCTCCAAGGAAAGGGGAGGATATTTGTGATATTCCAAAAATCAACCCAGCTGTGACTCCAAGGAAAGGGGAGGATATTTGGGATATTCCAAAAAATAAACCCAGCTGTGACTCCAAGGAAAGGGGAAGATATTTGGGATATTCCAAAAAATAAACCCAGCTCTGACTCTAAGGAAAGGGGAGGATATTTGGAATATTCCAAAAAATCAACCCAGCTCTGACTCCAAGGAAAGGGGAAGATATTTGGAATATTCCAAAAATAAACTCAGCTCTGACTCCAAGGAAAGGGGAGGATATTTGGGATATTCCAAAAATAAACCCAGCTGTGACTCCAAGGAAAGGGGAAGATATTTGGGATATTCCAAAAAACAAACCCAGCTGTGACTCCAAGGAAAGGTGGACGTGGCAGCCGGACCAAGAGTTGTCACACGGTGGCCACGTGTGACAAATGACTCAGGTGCTCCGTGGGGACCAGCCTGGATTCATTCCCTCAGCCTCCATTGAATTCCAGCCTCAATTCCAGCCTCAAACGATTCCCTCGGCCATGGAGGAGCTGCTCCACTCCCCCCCCGTCCCCCCAAAGCCACCCCCGGACAGGGGACGGTGACAATTTTGGGAAAGCAGCCCTTCCCCCAAGCCGGGTTATTCTGGGAGAGTCACAGGCGGACACCACGTGGTGAAATTTTGGGTTCGGGGGGAAATGAGTTGGGACAGATGGAGCAAAAATCCTAAAAAAAAAAAAAAAAAAAAAAAAATCCATTTCAGTTTCGCTGTCCCGGTGAGGAAGTGGGAGCTGCTGGTGCAGACTGGGTTGGGTAGGGAGGAAGAGGAAGGAGAATATTTAGGGGCTGGAAAGGGGATTTGGGGCTGGAAGGGGGATTTGGGGTTGGAATGAGGAGATTTTTGGGGTTGGAAGGGGGATTTGGGGTTGGAATGAGGAGATTTTTGGGGTTGGAAGGGGGA